ACTCATTTTGACCTTCAGAGCTGCTTATACAGTATATCTGCAGTGTATTTCATGACAAACATAATAAAATATGTATGAAAGAACTCTGGCATGTAAAAGCCTGTATTACACTATTTTCTGATCTGTGTTATATTGTTATTTTCTCATTCACACATGTTTAACACACAAACTCTGTTCTACCTTGCGATATCATGTGGTACTACAGGAAATACTCCACTCCATACACCTTCACAAGAATCATTACGGCTACGTTCACACTGCAGGGTGTAAAGCTCAAGTCAGATTTTTTTGTGAAATACGATTTTTTTGCGAGGTTGTTCACATTTCCAATTAAATGCAACTTGTGTGTGATCTCCAGTGTGAACATTAAACGCCCTTAAAAGTGTCCCACATGCGGTTCTTTTGTCCATCCGTGAACATGGACGTTATGCTGGTGCACTGTAAGTAGACGACATTGTCACGTGCAGCGAGTGTGCTCAGTGTTTACAGGAGTAGCCTAAACAAGGACACTAGCATTGAACACCTGGCCATTTCAAAGTTTCTGTTGTACCAGAGCCAGAACATGTACAGCTTATTTGGAGAAGGACGAGGTTTTTGGTTGTAACGTTTTGTGGGGCAGTGGCAGCAACTTCCCTAGAAAGGATCATTTGGGTGCAGAGTCACAGCCAAGAGCGGTGGGATTGCTATGTGCTTTGTTGCTTCATTAACAATACACAATTTTTGTATGATGCGAAGAACGTTTGTGTACATTTGTGATGTGTAGGTTGGATGAATGCGACCTGGCCATTCAGACTCATGCCACAAGTCAAAAGATCGGATATGTATCTGTTTTAGGAGTCCATATCCAAATGGCCTGGGTCGCATTTGAAAAAATCGGATCTGTGTCATTCAGACTGTCATTAAAAGATCAGATATACGTCACATGGGGTGAAAAAATCGAACTTGGGTCACTTCAGTCTGCAGTCTGAACGTAGCCTTATTTCATTTTGGCTCTGGAATTGCCACTCTCTACTGAACTGAAAATAAAAGGCAGCTGCTTCATGACATCACAAGGTGGAACAGAGCATTCTGAGCTTAGGAAATGCAGACAGACTTATGAGAAAAGGTCAGTCAAACATGTGTGAACGAACGAACATTCTAACATGGCTTAAATCTCACAAGAGTCAGTTTTGCTTATTGATATGATATAGGACAATATAGGCAAACCATGACATCACCACAGAGAGCAGAAAAGTTACAATGTGCACCTTTAAATTGCCCAGCTAAAGCCAGACAAAAACCCCCTTGACAATCTATTCACAATTACCCCATACAACCTTATAGAAAAGCTGCCTCTCTATTGAAATTTGCCTTTCAAGGTTACAGTTTTGGTCGCCTTTGTCAGCATAGTCAGTCCGCCTTTGCATTTCTTCTCTTAATGAAAGCTCTGGGCTTCGTTTTCAGAGTGGCGTCGCCGAGGTTCAAATGACACTGCTTTCAGACACTAATTGCATATAAGGAACAAAGACAGGGACGCAGCAGGAAGTTAGGAAGTGCCCATGAGAAGTGCCAACAAGGGTATAACACAACTCCGGGTCACGCCAAGCCAGATTTTACAAGCTCTGGAAATTATATGTTCTCCGGCCCTGTCACGTACCCTCAAAGTCACATGAATATTTGAAGTGTGGTAGTAACACTTTGGTCTCTCCGGAATATTACAAATTTTGGAAGTTCCCGAGGGTGCTTGGATGAGTGGACCACCATTAGAGGGGTCTGTAGAGGTCTGGCCCTCATCTCTAGCTGGATGGGTTCAGCAGTGATTACCGAGCTCAAAGCCAAAAGAGGGAGAGGAGTGCAGGGAGACAAACATGATGTAATGGCTCAAACATCAGAGTAAAGTTTCATGCTCAATTTGTTTCTAAAATGGTATGTATTAAAAGGTGCGGTACCAGAGTTTTCCTGGCTTAAAAAATGTGAAAAACAGAAGCAATTTTAGACGCTTTGCAGTGGTCCAAAGTTATTCATCATTTACCTTATTTACTAGGGATGTAACGATATCAAATCTCTCGGTATGATATTATCACGATATGCATCTCACGGTACTGCGATATTTTGGAGAGGCTGATATAATTGTAGATAGGACTCTTTTTTGCTTTTAAAATACCCCGACAAGATTTTGATGTGAATTATTACTGTCATAATCCCAAGATATTCAAATAAAAACATATAACTTCATGTTGTCTGCGCTGAAATGAATCATGGGATATGTAATTCCTGACATGTATTAGCTTTTGGTATTATAAAACAATGCATTTAAGCAAAGGATTTTGTCATTCGAGATATTGTGTCAGCCCACGGTATTTTTGTGAGACTTTTGACGATACAATATCATGATATTTCAGTTATTGTTACACTCCTATATCAGTGTTGAATTTTCCTATCATGTTAAAACTAACAACTATGATGCTAACGTGTACTCCTTGATTCTTGGACGATAAAATGCTTTCTAATTAGATAAAGACAGCACACAGCAGACATATTTTGACCTCAAGAGATTCTTATACAATATATCTGTTTTGAAGCTTGACAAATTTTGCTTAAATACATGGAAAACGATCGGTACAGGGGCTTAAAATTGGTATTTGGTGTAATTCTGTAACATTTTAAAACAAAGTATTTACGCCTTAATTAGGAATCAATAGTAATTCAAATTTTGATACATTTGTTGTGTCTTTTTGCACATGACAAATGCAGTTAGATTGAAGGTGCTTCTGAACTGTGAAGTGTGTTGCAGTCATATACAGTACATGATTGCAGTAGACACGGGTACCGTAAGTCCACTACATAAATAATTCATGTTGAAAAGCACTTTATACATGACCTCAATAGTAACAAGTCAGATTTGAGAAAAAGGATAAGACCTCAAACTTTAACGTCTACACAGGCTAGTAGTAGTTTTGTAGTAACAGTTGTAGTGTACTTTCCCTGACCTGAGCTGGATGTTCATTTATTTAAAATGGATATACAACACAATACAAGCTTATATCTCAAATCTGACCTCATGCTGTGTATTGGATGAGTACGTACCTGCAGAAGGAAGGCTGTATTCAGACACATGGGCTGGTGTGCTCCGGACTATGACCTGGAAGGGAATAAAAACAACACTATAACCACAAGAGCTCAGAACTGTGTCCCACGGTTACACACACACATACAACATAGTGATATTAAACTTAAAAATTAGGTTAAATTAGGTTATTTCATGGGCAATGTTAGCTGGATATTACTGCTATTTATCTTGTGTTTACATTGTGGTTATTACAACTATTTAAAAGTCCTGTCATCTATTGAACATATTACATTAAAGTTTAGAGTAGGTTTATAATGTACAGGTTATTAGGGGAGAGCTTAAACGGGGTTAGGTGGTTTACCTTGTGGTTAAACTGCTACTGCCGTCCTCTCTGTGCGGAGGTCAGCGGGGTCATTTAGCCTCTTTTACGATGGGCACACAGCAGGAAGAAAAAGCAGCCATCTTTACTACGGCACAGTGTTTGGAGGTAGGTCAAGGAGGCTTTCTCTGTCACTCTGAGCGTATTTACTGACGAGGCGGCGCCGTCACATCGCATTATACGAGCAAACAGAGATGATAGAGTTTCAAGAGTTATCGCTAAATCCGCTAAAGCCGCGGTGCAAAGATTTGTCTGAAAATGCATTGCAAATACGTCCTTATCTTAGGTCGGACACAAGGTCAGGGGCTCTTGTCCGGGGCTACTTTTTACATTTCCTCTTTCGTATGTTTACATTAGCACATTTTAATTGTTTATCCGCCGTGTCTGTTTGTGGTCGGATCCAAACTTTTCAATCGGATGGGTTAGTTTAAATTATGAATGTGTTTATGACTAATAATTATTCTGTATGACACAAGGGTTTTCTTTCAAAATGTTTATTTAGCATCAACAAAGAGGAAAATATTAAAGGGCTTACATAAGCGTAAAGAATCTCGAGATGGAAATGACTCCAATAACCACCACGGGATTTAGAACGTCTACTTTCATTATTGTGACTCTACAAAGTAAGAAAAGTCTTATTGAAAAGAAAAGTACATTTAGACTAAAAAAGTTACACAGAAGAGAAAGCTCCGGGACTGTGCTGCAGCTCTAAGTTTCGCACACAAACTATTTATAGACATATTAAAGTGTAATTTTGAGGGCCATAATCATAAACACAACTATTTAGAGGATGGACAACATTCACAGATGCACACCATGCTTTTATAAGCCCTTTAACACTAAAGATCTATGTCTTTACAAAAAGAATGAAACAGCAATACAATGTATACAGTAGGACTTATGCTCTTTTAAAGTGGGCAGAATTTACAAGAGACATGAGCAGTTATCCCCCGGAGAAAAAGAAATATCTACAGTACTGCACTTTGCTAGAACTATTAGTGACTACATCTGAGCGTGACCACAGGGTTTGAGAAACATTGTACTGACGACTCCCACTAATGATGGAAGTGAAAGTGCCATACAACGTCATTCTTCACATTAGCAGAGCAAAGGGAAGGACTTCAGAGCACAAAGGCCAAGTCCACACACACATATATATAGATACCATCTGTAGTTGATCATTAGTAACACTTGCTGGCATGGACAGCACTACAGCCAATTACTCCATGGTCTCCTGACAATGGCGTGTATATGTATATGTATATGTATATGTATATGTATATGTATGTATCTATATCTAAGCTGTTATTTGGGTGCCATTAAGAGGCTTATCGTGGATAATTATTCTGTATTATTAGTTTTATTTTTACAGGGGTTAAATCATGCAGGAGCTGAGTCACGTCTGAAAAGGTCCTGAGCTTTACATAACTACTAAATAATAACCCCAGATTTTTAGGAACATCCTCCAAAGAATTGCAAATAATAATACTGCATTATTACTCTGATAATACTATATTTTAGATGCTGACTCCATATCTGGCAGCCTTCACACATCAGATGAAGAGGGGGCAGGGCTGTGGGGAGCTGGGCAGAGGAGGAGGCCGGACACACTCAGCAGACCCTAGCTCATGTGAGGGTCACTGAGTATGTCTGGCTGAGGCTTCAGTCTAAGGCCGCCTCCAGAGAGAGGCTGGGGACTTGAGTCAGATTGGACCAATCACAATATACCTGCTGAAGTGGCTGGAGCCAATAAGGAGGTAAAATCATCAGCTGTTAATATCAATCTTGATGTTTCTGAACAGTGAAATACTATGAGAAGCTCTTACAGTCATGACAGTATGTGTACACTTGGCCTTAGTCTCAGTATCCAGCCTATGTCTCCTGCAGAAACAAAAACCTTTTTATACATTACCCAGTGGGACCATGGTTTAACATGAGGGGAGGCCATTTTGGAAAACCACTTGTGACTCTTCCACAGTCCCATCATTTCATGTTTGGATATTTCTGTGTGGTTTAGCTGTTCACTTGTAAAAAGGTGAGAGCGTCCATAAAAAATCCTTTACTTGGGTTGGCCTGGTGCCGCTGGTATAAACAGTTCAATATCGGGAGTAGGGCTGCTCTCTGAACGCTCCCTTGCTGCTGCGTGCCGATGGTGCCTTGCCGCGACTGTTTGCCCACTCTTCCTGACCTGATTAGGAAAGAAACAAAAACAAACAGATGGAGTGTGATTGCAGACTGCTCTTAAATCATTTATGCACTACTCATCTCCAGAGGCCTATGTGTTCTATGCAAATGTTGTCAATAAGCTTCCCTTTTACGTTAAGTAGATGGCAGTGAGAGCATTAAATGAGTTGTACAAATTATTATTGTACAGTAACAAAACTGTATTGTTGTCTGGGCACATATTTGCATAAGGCATGTCTCAAGAGCTCCATTCATCTTCAGCGCTCCCTCAGTTAGTATAAACGTAGCACATATTTTGCTTCATTCACACGTTTTTACACACATACTGCATATTTAGGTAAGTTCTTCTTTTAAACAGAAAACACTGTTCCATCTTGTGATGTCATGCTCCACTTTGTTTTTAAACTCCATACACCTTTACTAGAATCACTTGGATGATTTCAGCCCTGGAATTACCATTCTCCACTAAACAAAAGGTATAAAATCGAGCTGTTAATTTGAAGACTACTGCTTCATGACATCACAAGGTGGAACAGATCATTTTGAGCTTTGTTGATGTAGACAGACTAACAATAAAGGATTACTAAAACGTGTGAATGAAACAAAACACAATTCTAGGTATGTGTTTTGAGGAAATGGCTCAAGAGTAAATTTTATGTAACATAGAACCTTTAAACTACTACTAACTAATGTCACAATTTTGGGGGGCTAAAGAATCAACAAAAGATAAAAGTAGTTTATTGCATTGAAAACTTTTGAAAAACATGCTTCCTTACTGTGAGTGCGCTTGCATCTCCACAAACCTTGCTCTAGAAATGTTGTTCCTTTGGTTATAATATTCCATAGTAAGGCATACTACTCATCTATCTCCATGGAGAATGTTCTTAAGTATGGTTTTAACTTTTTATTTCCATGGAATCATCCAGGTGACGTGCCACCACCCGAAAGGTCTATACTGTATCTTTAAATAAAATATTTTCCTAACAAGGGTATAAGTTAATATTTCTGCATACTTGTGTTTAATTTGACCTTTTATAACTTCAACTTCAACCTCAACCATACCATTCACAGATATGTATTTGCACATTTCTGATGTCTTGCAATAAAACTGTCTGAATATTGTGGCATAATAACAAAATACTATATATCAAGATTAATTTTGGTAAATATTTTCCACCCTACTACGCTGCTTCTTAGTTTGAGAGGTAGTATTACATGTATCAATACTTTTTCCTTGGTCTCCCACGTATGTGCTGCAGATGTGTGCAAACAGGGACTAGACAAACTCAATAATTTGATCTCCTCTACGCTGACGTCTACTATTGACATCCACAAAAAGCTCTTTCACCACTGAACACAACTCCACCTTTCACCAGGGAGGCCACCTGCATCTCCGATAATTGAGCAAACCAATCAAACGGCTACTTCAAAAGGAGCGTTTAGCTGCTCCTGGCGAGAAAGGTCACGATTAGCATTAAGCTAAATGAGGGCCCAAGTTCACCCCCTGGTAGAGCCCACGGTGCGCAAGTGGCAGTATCGATGGCACCCTTGTCAGATCCAGAGCCAGTGCTAGCTTCTCCCAGGGCCCACTGCAGCGCTACAACCCATAGACTGTAATTAGACTTGTCAGGGCTCCGCGGCAGTCACTTTGAAGACAGTGAGAGAGCTAACCTTGTGTTTGTGTTTACGAGCGTCTTTTGAACTGTCACCTCCGCGTGTGACCCCCTCTCTCCACTTTACAGCCCTGTGTTGCTCTGATCAACCAAAGGGAGCCGGGGTCCTCCAGAAAAGTTCTATTAGCTTTGAACTGATTCCAAAAGGATCCAAGTCAATTAGGCGTGAAGAGAGGCGGATTATCACCAAAACTCATTTGCATCTGCATTTTTTTTTTTTTATTGGAAGTTGTCGTCTTGAATTCTTTTTAATGAACCTGGAGGCAGTGTGCATCTCAGGTTTCCTGATTTTTAAATTTATTATTGAGTAAGAGAAAGACTATTGCAGCAGCTTGAGGTTATATTTGTACTGTACATGACATTAAACTCCTTTTACTGTATGTTTTGTGCTAGAGCCGTCTATGTCAGTCAGATCTAAATCGCAGCTTGGTTAGACACAATGGCTGCAATGTTCCTCCATAAACAACAAAATATCCTGCTGTATTCTGCAAAAAAATGGCTAACCCTGTAGTTTGTACAAACCTCACACAAAAGTGATTTTTGTCGTTCACTTTTCAGTATTACATGTGTAAAATATGAACTTTGAACAGAATCCCTTTATTAAAACATACATTGCAAATCTAAATGCAGTTCTTGTTAGAAAAATAGCAATATTTTTCTCAAGTCATTCAGTCCCATTTTGTGCACAATAAAACATTTTCTCACTGATGAATTGTGGGTGGTAGATACTTGTAATTCTTCACATTTATGCCAGTTACTTATGAAGCATTTTACCTATTGACGTATTGCACTGTATGTTTTTGATGTTTGTGACAAGGCTCATGATTTTTGGTTTCAAATTTTATGTCCTGGTTGGAAATCATGATACTCCTCTAATGAACTGGTACACAGAAATTATTATTTGACAGATAACATTGTAAAAAAACACCTTTGTTTTATGTTTAGATCAGAATGATTTTTTTTTTGTATAAACTGTGCCAAACTTTTGGATAGAATTTTTTCCCCTTGTGATCATATTTTTCAACTTTTCTCTGCAAATTGCTTCTTGAGTGATGTAAAACTGTGATTTATATTTACAACAAGTATTATCCTGTCAAATTAAATCAGCATTAGACAATCATCAAAACCTGTGATACACACTTTAATTATATTCCACTTTGTTGTTCAGTCTTTTTCAGTTTTACTTAAAAAACATATAAAAGAAAGTAGTGTCACAGATGATTTGTATATAAGAAATTCATTTATATATTTGACGATAAAGTGCAGTTTTAAATGTTATTATCTGTAGTACACCTACCATTCTATTGCATTGTGCAGGAGCTCAAACACATATGACCTTGGCCCATTTTGTATAAAGGACTGTATAATTTAGGATCTTTAGACTTTTGTTCTCATTAACTGAACTGAACCCTGGCAAAATGATCATTACGTTGTTTTATTGTAATGTTTGAAATCTAAATTAAAGATCTATATCACGCATAATTGAATCTTCTATGTTTTAAGCCATGTAGTTACCTCATCAAAACCATACCTGGAGTTGTGTTTTGTGTTTGTTCACACATGTTTGAGTAATCCTGCAAACCTCAAAATGCCCTTTTCCACCTTGTGATGTCATGTAGTGATAGTTTTCAAATTAACAGCTATGTTAAGTTCAGTAGAGATGGAAAATTTCAGGGCTGAAATCATCCAAATGATTCTAGTGAAGATGTATGGAGTTTAGAAACACATTGGAGTATGTCCTATAATACCACATGACATCACAAGGAACAGATTTGTTTGTTAAACATCTGTGAATAAAATAAAACACAATAATGTTTTTGATGAGGTAACAAACAACATTATAATAGATCAGGAAAGAGTGCAATATAGATAATTTAAGTGCGGTTTTAATTAATTAATTCTTTGTTGTGATTTTAGTGTGAGCAAATGATATGTCGACATTCATTAGTTAAAACATTGCATTACATTTTTCATTTTTCAAACAGAACTATTCCATTTAAACACTGGATTACATGTTATAGTATTTGTTTATATTATTTCTTAACTGTCCGAGATTAAATGTGTTTAAATTATGTGTTGATATTGACCAAAAAGGCTGAGCAATTTGTGATTTTATAGAAACTTTTCTATATATTTTAAGTTTTCCTTTTTTGCGTTTATTTTGCATTTTATACATTGAAATTGCACAGATGGTATTTCTGAATTACTTCTTCCCAGTTTAGAACCATTTCATAGCATCACTTTCATTTCTAGTCTGTCTGGTGTAAGAAATAATCGCATTCTTCCTGGTAAAAATATGGTAGTATTTTATTATTTTATTTTTTTCATTTTCTTGCTTCTAAAGTAATTATTCTGCTCTGATATGCTAAATAAATAACAGGAAATGACCCAGGTAATTGCAGCCAAATTGATACTTCCATTACTCAAAATTAAAACAGTGGTTATAATTGAGGGGTGGGCACTTACCATATGACTCATAGGACTCCCCGCTGTGGCCGTACTCATAGTAGTCTTCTGAGCTGTGAACACAAAAAAAAAATCTAATGAACATCACAATATCACTGAACAGAAAATTACACCACTGTTGCTGGAAATAAAAAATAATGCACTTTTCAATATTGTCGCAGCACGTCTAAGCCATATTTATGCTCATGCTATTACATATAATTGATGTAGTTTGAGTAAAATATAAGAAAAACAGCGTCAAGTAAACAAGACAAGCTTTCAGTCAATCAAAAGTTGACGCCTCCACACAGCAATTTTCTCTCTATCATTCAAGAGAAGTAAGAGCAAATAAGGCAATTTAACAAATGTGGACAAAATTTGTGACTCTTGTCGAGACAAAATAACTTGTCCGTAATAAATAATAAATAATAAAAAGTAACTTGTCCGTTGTGATCAAAGATACTACTGCACTATAGTACCATCTTAAATGGGCTTTACACAGTTTAAAAAATATAGGATTAAGTATGATTTATCTTTCCCCAGTACAGATATATTGTAAATACAGCTCTGTGCAGTTTCCCGGACCAAGAAGCAAGGATAGTATACTGTTAGTGTTAGATGCGTGTTACCAAAATGGCAAAATACGCTCTGGCCTCTGGTGGTTGTGGAATGTGCTTATAAACTCATGATGATGAATAATTAGAATGCTAGGAATACCGAATTTGGAATAAATCTGGACTGCTGCAACATTTAAGACAGAAAAAGTGGGGTGAATGACCTTTAAAACTAATTTCTCTTGGGGACTTGTGAAAACTAACTCTAAAAATTAAAATATGACTTTTTTGAACATGTAGCATGTCAAAAACAAAACAAAAATACTGTTAACAGCTATAGCATGATATATCAAATAGACAGGACATGGGAAAACAGGACATTTACACACAAAGTGATTAAGGTTGCAGCGATCTGATACTGGTATGGCATATTAGCGCCAATAGTGACAAGTTTGTATTGGCTTTCAAATATCGGTTCAGTCGATATCCTGGCTGTTCATATAAACTGATGTAATAAGACAATTTACTGGTGGTCGGCACAGAAAGTCTCATGTTTGAACTCTTAGACAAAACTGTGTTGTTTGTGGGATGAATAACAGCTACATTATATACATTATTATATTTTTGTTTAATGGAAATGCTATCTCAGGTCTCTGCACCAGTATCCGTTGATATCAAGTATAGGCAGATGTTTAAAGCTCTAGTATTGAAATCGGTTTTGGAATTGAAGATGGTTTGGTGCATAACTCAAAGTTATAATCCCAAATGTTGCTAATGGCAAGAAGGACATGAGTTTGATTTCTGAATCATGAGCAGAGTACAGTTTGCACTTTTTTTCTGTAAATTCTTCAACGTTAAATGGTCTGGCACTGCACAGGATGTGTCAAAAGTAGAAAGAAAATGTATGTGAGATATTGTAAGCAGTAATACTGCTTACAATATTTGAGCTTTCTTAGCTAGTCAGCTTTAAGAAAAATAGCTGAATATAAACCGACAAGCAACATCTCTCAATCAATCAAAAGTTGGGCCCACATTGGCCATTTTTACATGGCAATTTTCTGTTGCACCACTCCGCCCGGGCTCTCCGTTCCACACCGCCGCATATGGAGATCTATGAGAGATGGCACCTTTAATGAAAAATAAAAAGTCAGGGAGGCGGGTTGCAGGGTGCTTCATTTCTCCCCTCCTCTCTTCGATATTTTTATTTATTTGTGGCCCGGTGAGGTGCATGCTGACAGAACAATCCGGCGTCGCTATCATTCAGTAACAGCGCTATCATTCAAGAGAAGCAATTCATCATAAGGCTGCCACTGAGCCGACAGGAGCCATCACAGCTGTGTCCTCCCCGCCCGCCTGTCACTCACACGTCAGAGCCTCTGCGGAGCCAGCGCCGCGATTAGAGAGGCCCAACAACACACAGCACCACGTCCCCAGTGCTAAGGGCAAACACTGACAACCCCAAAACATACTAGAACAAGTCATATAGAGCTTTGAAGAACAGGACAGTTTCAAGTTGTTTTGTGTAACATTTAACCAAAAATATTAAAATAGAGTAAAAAAGTTCTACCATGTTCTTAAGACTTATTTGGTTTGGTACGAGAACTTTATTGTGTGGGCGGACATGACAAGTACATTTCCCCACTCTGAGATCCATTGAGTTCTATTCTAAGTGCACAAAATAGAAAATAAGGGCAGAGTGACAGAAATGATATAATTTATGACATTGCTTAAAAATAACTGAAAACCAATGCACCGGCAGAATTTTGCACATACTAATGCATGTGCATCCAGGCCAGTTTATAGTTCTCTGTCAAATCCATGCAGAAGTACCGCACAGCTCCAAGTCGCACATAAAAGCCAATCAGAGAGCTTGCAGCATATGCGATGCCACTCATGTGCCCTGTACGTGCACCTTGGCTAAAAAGTTACTATGTTTCGAACTTCTCCTAAACTCAAGGGCTGTGATTGGTTGAACCACAAAGACTGATTAACAGCTAATCTTTGGCACAGAAATGTCTGTGTATGAGACTAATATGATTGTTTATTGTCACAGTAAATATAAAAAAAACCCAAATAATTAATTCAAGTTAAATAGTTTGGCTTCCCACAAAGCTCCAGGGCCCTGATGAGCTCCGCAGAAGCTTGCATGGTTCAGGTCTGTGTCAGGATGTCAGCTCTCAGCTGAGCGGGGCCCTATGCAGAACTATAAACCAGCCTTTAGGCTGTAAAGGAAAACAAATCCAATATTTTATGTACACTGTTCACCTTGTGGATATGTTTCTTATCTGTTAAAAATAGTTTGAGGGTAAAGGGTAGGGGTGCACCAGTCCAGCTAGTTCAGTTGCAATACTTATATCAGTACTTTGAGTTTAATCTGCTGATAACGGACATTAACAAAAAAGATTTCACACATGTACGATAATGGTTTATTATTCTATATTTAGCAAGATATAGTGCTGGGGCAGGTACAAAAGGAGAAGCTTGAATAGACACAGAAACTGGACAAATTGAGCAGAAAGTTGTAAATCACTCCAACAGCGCAGTGCAAGCTCAGTGAGACAAGTGACAGCCGTATGCCTTAAGTCAGGCATAGTATAAATTTTGAACCACCAATAATTCAACACCACACAATACATTCTTATGCTAATGATATAGCTTCAGTCTGCTGTACATCCTATAGCAATCAGGTATAGTGCATTGCTGTCATAAAATATAGGTTGGATGTCATGTTAGTGGAAGATCCTTGACATCTCTCCACCAGTCCATCGTGAAAACGCGCTCATTACCAGTGGGCCGGGGACCTGGCAGAGTGCTAAATAATTACAATTCACACTGGTCTCAAAACCCAACGCAGTATCCTGCCGCGGACGCCCCAGAAACCAACAATTTGTATGAACATTGGAAAATCAATTTGCCACAATTCACAGGTGCTGGTTGACATATTGCGAGGAATACTGCGGTGTTTGGATATCCCCTGCTCTCCCTGTCATGCCTCGCTGTAAAACCAAATCCAAATAAGCAAGGTGCCACACGGCTAACGTCGCTAACGCTATTGCACAAGCTTGTTTACATGCTGTAGGCTGTCAGCATCTTTTCCACTAATGTATTCGAGCGGTCGGTGAGACAATTGGGGCTGTGAAAGGGGAGTAGGGAGTTCCTCTGAACTCTTAAAGCCTGTGTGTTATTAGAGGCACAGAGGAGTGGTAATGGCAAGCTGCTGCTCAGAGCTGCCAGAGCGCTCTTGCACAAAGCAGACAAGAGTGCAACAAAAGCTGTTAGGTGCGTCTAATTTGGGAGGTGACGTTTTATCAATATGGCAACACAACTTCTCTCCCCTCGTCCTCTCGTTCACAGAGCCTGTGAGAGCTGAAGGTCAAAGATGGAGGTTTAACTTGGCTGTGGGTGGGCTTAAGGCAGCAGCTGCAGATTCAGACATTTGCCCTCAACCCCTCCGTGAAGTCAGTGCATCTAAAAAAAAACCTCATTTATTAATATTGCTGTGAGACAAGATGACCTTTTACTTTTCATCATTTTGCCTCTGCTAACCATACTTATTTATTTAAAAATTTTAAAGTAAAATCTCTAAATGTAATGGCTTTATAATCAATGAAATTGACAGAATCCAAATATTTATTCATTTAACAGTGAAAACGTCTACTCCTGACTGTCACAGTGTGGCTGGCCTTGACAAGAAACACATCCAGTAATCCAAAAATCACCAAATTAATATTATTTTATTGAACAATTTTGAAGCCAATTTCAACTTCATTTCTCGTCCTAAAGAAGTACCTTATTTGTTTACATGTAGCTAAGAATTCATTTTTTTGCCCCATTACAGATAAATTGTCAATGCAACTCTTATGGTCAGGTGTGTGCTGTCTGAATTAAATTTTAAAGCATTTTATTGACTGAGCATCAGGAAGTGTGCTGTTAGCATGCTAATACATGTACAGAGAGTTGGGACTTGCAAATCGTGACTTGAACTCGAGTCAGACTTGAGTCACTATTTTTAGGACTTGAGACTTGTCTTGATAAAATGGACTAAGACTTGGGACTCGACTTGAACTTGAAGGTCAATGACTTGAACTTAACTCGGACTTGAGGCCTGTGACTTGAGAAGACTTGATGCTTCTCCTAAAAAATATGTTTTAAGAAAATACTTTATGCTTTACAGGTGATAAATGCAGGGATTAATTTTACAAGGACAAACTGGAACATGCCCCTCCCACTTCTGTTTGGTACTTTGGATGGAACAGAAGTACTGTGATGTAGTCATCAAAAGTACTACAGTAATATACAGTGTAATACAGTAAAGCAGAGGGAACTACATAGAACATGACCCTCCCATTTCAGTGCAAACACACGAGAAAATAACTGTTATTAAGCACTTTTAAATCTAAATTTTCTCTTCTATCAAGACATTTAAAAAGGAAAAATTTACATTTCTACAACTCGTATATATTCTATAAATACTCATATATAGATATACTCTTAACACTCTTACTCTTATACAATTAGGC